AGAACCCCTGGGCTCAAGTGATCCTCCCACCCTCCGTCTCCCAAAGTGTTGGGATTGCAGGCATGAGCCACCATGTTTGGCACCCATACATTATTTATTTTATTTCATTTTTTTTTTTGAGTTGGAGTCTCACTATGTCGCCCAGACTGTAGTGCAGGGGCCGCTCCCGGCCACTGCAGCCTCGACCTGCCGGGCTCTGGCGATCCTTCCGCCTCAGCCTTCCAAGTAGCCAGAACTACAGGCACGCGCTACCACGCCCAGCTCATTTTTTTTTTTTTTGATTTATTGTAGAGATGAGGTCTTGCCTGCCCAGGCGGGTCTCGAACCCACAGGCTTAGGCAATCCACTTACCTCAGCCTCCCAAAGTCGCGGGATTACAGGCTGAGCGACTGAGCCGGCTCCCATACATTCTGTTTTTTTTTTTTTTTTTTTTTTGAGTTGGAGTCTCACTCTTTCCCCCAGTCTGGAGTGCAGTGGCCGCTCCCGGCCACCGCAGCCTCGACCCACTGGGCTCTGGCGATCCTTCCACCTCAGCCTTCCGAGTAGCTGGAATTACAGGCACGCGCTACCATGCCTAGCTGATTTTTTTTTTTTTATTTATTGTAGAGATGAGGTCTTGCCGAGTTGCCCAGGCGGGTCTCGAACCCGCGGACTCAGGCAATCCACTCACCTCAGCCTCCCAAAGCACAGGATTACAGGCTGAGCCACCGAGCCCGGCTTACATTCTTAACAATGCTATTCACATTGTGAATACTTAGCAAATCTTAGTAAACATCCAGTCATTCAAAGTAGAGTCATAATAGAGGAAAATAGCAGGTAGTATAAAAATTGAGAGAAATATTTATATTACAGTTTGGATAAGATTAATAGCTTTATCAGTATCATGATACACCACAATATATAAAATGAGGAAAAGTAGTCTTTACATGTTAATAATTGACCCACAATCTTCTAACAAACTGTTTTTGGTTTTGGTTTAGGGGTTTTTTTTGTTGTTTTTTTTTTTTTACTATTTTGAGGAAGTTTTCTAATTTTTTTTTCTTTTCTTTTTTTTCTTCTTTTTTTTTTTTTAGAGATAAAGTCTCACTCTTTTGCCCAGGCTGAGTGCAGTCACCCAATCAGAGCCCACTGTGGCCTCAAACTTCTGTGCTCAGGTAATCCTCCACCTCAGCCTCCTGAGTAACTAGGACAATAGGCATGCGTCACCATGCTCAGCCAAATTAAGCTATTTTTACCTTCTTCAGTTTTCTTCTGCTTTTTGTATATATCCATACCTGATTTTTACATACTTATGATATAGGTTTCTTTGTATAGATGTAGTTATAATGTTTAGGTATACAAGCAAGATTCTTTATTATAGGTAGAAAGAATCAAACACTTTTTTTTGTAGCCATTTACTGTTATATCCTTACAACCAATGTTAATTAAGGGCTACAATTGGTAAGCATGAAGTTTTATTTGGAAGCCCTGCATTCTGGGCAAAGATTTCTTGTTAAATAGTTTGTTGGTAAGTAACTGACATGTAGAATGCAAAAGATCTGGTATAAGTTTCAACTTTCCCCCTATTAGTAGTTAATATAATTTATTTGGAGAAAATCTCTCTGGGTATCACTTTCTTATAAAATATACCACTTAGGATGGATAAGATGCTCTCTAATATCCTTTCAACTAAAATGTATTTCTTATAGCTGTTACTTGGAAAAGACCGAGGTTCGTTTACCTGGCGAGTAACAAACGACTTTCTGTGAGAATGCAGGTTTTGATCAGCAGGAGTTTTATTACTTTGTGCAAGTAAGGAGAGCACTGGGAGTATTCTCCAAAGCAATGTCTCCCTGAGGAGAGTTTTATGGGGTGATGGAGAGGGAAGAGGGTGCATCACAGGATGTAGAGGAGGGATCCCAGTGGCACGCAGTGAGTCGTCATGCCAGCACATAGGTCACAGGTTATGATAATGACACTGTAGCTCCTTCTGGGGTGGAGACTTTAGCATGGTAATGAGGAAAGTTCACTGGGGTTCTTCCATCAGTTGCTGGGGTCTGTCTGGAACTCGTTTTACCAACTAGGTGACCACATTCCCCACAGGGTTTGGGGAAAAGCAGGCAACAGGACAGGAGGCTGCAAAACAGTCTGATTGCTCAAGTTGATTAAATTCCTAGAGGAATTTAGGCCCTAGAGACCCTTCCTCTCTGCTTACATAGCCATGTTTTGCATCATTCCAGGTCAAATAAAAAGTTGCCGGTGTCTCAGAAATAAAATGAAAGAAAAGCAGTTACTGACTTGAATAAGCAAAACTTGTCTTGCTCTGCCTTGCTGTTGCTCTCAGAATTTCAGCATGTGAACCACTGATGTTTTGCCTTATATAGCAATAAAAAGAGACTTCTTTGTACTTTGTTTCCTTTGATGTTTTTCTCTCCATCAGATACAGCAGCAGCCAGAACCCACAGTTCACATTGATGCATTCCTTTATGATGAAGACTTTATTGATTCATTATGTGAGGAAGGAAAAATGAGCAGAAACTACTGTATGGCGTGTGGCTCACACCAGACAGCACCTTTAGGTAGGCACTCAAGTGTGCAAATCTGATGACTTTATATGTACATTTTCTTACATGTTAGAGTATCAAATTTTTGACCAAGCTATTCAGTGTTTTTTGAAGGCAAAAGGCCAACCTTTTGGTTATAGCATGACTATAATCAAATATTGCAGTGAAGGAGAATAAATAGAAATATTATCTAGGGAGCCTACGCCATGTAATGTCTCCCAAGATACATCTAGAAACTGTTTTTCACATCTCAAAACTGTTTAATCAGAGGTGACTCTTCAGGTCCAGAAACTAATCAGAAGGGACTGAATACAGAGGAACAGATTCATAGTCTACATACTCAACAAAAATTGACCAATAAACCCTATGCTGATTTAATTACGATGAGAAATATAACTTCCAAGACTGAAATGTTCTCCCTCTAAAAACATCTACTTGAGCCAAGCATGGTGGCTGGTGCGTGTAGCCCCATCTACTCAGGAGGCTGAGATAGAAGGATCACTTGAGACCGGGCATTCAAAGAGTTAGAGGCTGTGATGTGCTATGGTTGTGCCTGTGAATATCCAATGTACTCCAACATGGGCAACATTGCAAGACCTCATTGCTTTAAAAAATCTACTTAAGAAGTCAGATAGTAAACAGATACTATAGGGTGGGCAGGGATTCAGAAGACATAATCTTGAGAAAGACTTTCTTCAGGCCATAATTTGACTCAGTGAAGTATCCCTATCTATGATAGAGAACAACTCTAGTGACAAAGTCTCCTGCATCCTGCCCCTCAGCTGTAGCCCCTATGTCCCAACAGGAAATAAGAGTGTCTAGAAATGTAGAGTGCAATTGTTTTTTACCCATGCTGCTAGTATGTTATCCCTTCTTAATATATTCTTTGTTCAAACTAGATATGATTGTCTAGTCTGTTGTTTTAGACCTGCATTTCCCTGCTTACTTAGATTTAGCGTTACTGCATAGAGTGGGCTACCCCTCCAGGTAAATAATCTTGTGCTTGTATTACTGATCTTAGATAATATCATTCTCAAAGGTTAACTACTACCAAATTTAGAATATGTTGCTAATACAAATATATGTATCTATATTATAACTTGGGGTTAAACTTTTCTGATTTACTAGTTGAATATTCTATTTCTGGATAATACTTCTAATTTCCATTTTAAGTAGTTAAAATTCACAGAATTAAAAGGACTTGGGCAAGAGCAGTAGAGGAAAACTAAAAAGTTAATTATAACTATAACACTATATCAAATAGATTTGGTTTATAGATGAGCTATATGACAAATAAAATTTAAAGATTAGGATGCATCTTCCTCGATTAATCTGGTTTATAATGATTGAGTACCCAGGCCAGTCCAGATAACTAAAATGAATCTGAAACAGCTATCACCATGAGGGACTCTCCTCCTCCCATATGACAAGAGGCATGTCTCATTGTAAGACACTAATGATTACTCTGTAGCCCAGAAAAGAAGCACTAGTATGGCAAAGCAGGTAGTAAGGACAAAGATCCTAGAGAGGTAAGGACTATACCGGTCAAAGCCCACACCCCAAGGATTACTTCTTAAGCCTGGTCACACCCTTTATTCTCTTCCAAGGGATTGGCCAGCCTGCTTCCATTTTCTTTACCACCCTCTATTGATTATGACCATGCTTTCTCCCCTTCCTGACCAATGCATTATGTAGAACATAAGATAGTGAGTCTTTGGGTAACCTCTATAACAGAAGAAAACCAGACTTGAGCTATCCCAGGTAATTTATGATAGAAACTGAGGCATGAAGATAAGTCTAGGAGGCTAAAAATGGCGGCAATTAAACTAAACAGAATACAAGCATTTATGGGGGTATCTCAATCTCTTTCCATACTACTCCTCTCTTGCCCTCCAGAACACATTCTAGGTTGGTCAGAGCTGCCTTATCACACAGCTCCAGAGATGGTTCTTTGTTTGGTATTCTACCATCTGTGTGGCAAAATACATGGTACTCTGAGGTTGGTTCAGGGGTAAGGTAAGAAAGCCATATGGGAATCTGTCTCAGACAGCAACAGATCATAGGGAGAAGAAAAAGGAAAAAACTGAGGACATTTCAAGCTGCAAGATGGAAATGAGGGGCACAGGGATAGGGACAGTCATCTAAATAACTGTTCCCTAGAGGCCTTGTAAATGTCAGAGACTTAATATTTGTTCTACCTCACAGTGGCTGAGTACAAAATTATCATGTTGATTTTTTTCTAAATAACCTCTGGATGGCTTTCACTGATTAAGGGAAAAACCATGAAATATACCTTATAAATATAGGTGAAAGAATTAGAAGTGAAGAATGCAGTGGTTTGTACCCAAGCAAAATTTGATGTTCATTCTGTTCTGATTCTCCAGGATTTATTTCTCATTCCTTCTCCCTCATGGAATTGAAGTTCATTTACCATCACGTACTCCCTGATCTTTCTGGAAAGGTCTTGGTTGATGTTGGCTCCAGGCTCGGCACAGTCCTTTATGGGGTAAAGTCCAGCTTGTGGACATACTCAACATTTGCAGAATATTTTCTTCTCCTGCTAGCAACAGCTTTATCTGCCACCATACAAGGTGACAGCTTGGCTTTATTTATTAAAATAACAGAATAATAAGGTTCAAATAATATGACATGGATAGGTATTTAAGTTCTATTTGATGATGATAATTGAATTTGCAATGTCAAAGACCAACCGTTGATTCCTTTTACTAGTTTGTCCCTGCAACACAAATGAAGGAATATCAACAATATAGATCATAACACTTCGCTATTTTGTCAGTCACTACTGCCTTCTAACCCCTTTTTTTTTTATACTGTACTAAAATAGTATGCTGAGCTTTGATAAGAGCTCTTATAAAACTGAAAAATTTATTTGACCTAGAAAGTCACTGTATGGCAATAAGCAAGTCACTTAACACCTCTGGGCCTCTAGTTCCTCATCTGTAAGTGAGCAAACTAAATGATATCCAAGAACATATGTTGTTCCAATTTTCTGTGATCCAAAGTTTGAATGTTTGTTTCTAAGATTGCTTCAGTGTGACTTTTTAAAAACATTTAAATCATGAGTATTTCTTATGTCCTTGAATGGTTTTATCAAAAAACTGAAATGTGGTTTCTGGTTGTCATTAGTAGACTTGTTAAAACATGTGGCCAACAGCAGTAGAGGCTCATGCCAGAAACAGGCACTATCAATTTCCAACATCATTGCCTGCTTTACACAGAAACAGTTAACTCTTTAATGCTTAACTTACTTTTCAGTGTTAAAACTTTTATTCTATAACTAGGCAAAATAAACAGCCATAAGAGAAAATACATGACTTGTCAGATGGTTTTTGTTTTGAGAACATTACCTGAACTGTCTCCCTTGTACAGGCCCCCACAAAATCCTTGTCTAGGAATCTGTTTGGCCTCCTGTCAATTTATATTATGAGAGTCTTAAGAACCTGTGCTTACCACATTTTGTCTACTCTAGTCAATTTTCTGATTTGTTCAAAAAGAACAAAGCTGAAATAATTGTGGTTGTACAGACATGGTGTCAGCATTGATAAATTTATATATAGTCATTTTTCACTGTGTTATGTCACTGATTCAGTCAATAGGAATTTTTTGAATACATATGTACTATTGAATACATTCTAAAAATCCATTATGCACTATAGATAAAAATTTAGTTTTCTTTTTCTTTTTTTTTTTGAGTTGGAGTCCCACTCTGTTGCCCAGGCTGGAGTGCAGTGGCACACTCATGCTCACTGCAGCTTCAGCCTTCCAAGTAGCTGGAACTACAGGCATGTGCCGCCATGCCTGGCTAATTTTTTGATTTATTGTAGAGAGGAGCTCTTGCCATGTTACCCAGGCTGGTCTTGAACCCACGGACTCAGGCAATCATCTTGCCTCGGCCTCCCAAAGTGCTGGGATTACAGGCATGAGCCACCACACCCGGCGGTAAAAATTTAGTTTTCACATAGGTTGATATGAAATTATCTTCAGAAAATGAATTGATCTTTCTTTCCAAACTGTTTCATGTTATTGCAACCAAAAATAGGTATACGAACAACATATAGTCAATTCTTGATTATTCTTATTTACTAATTGGTTGTCTTTTGACAGATTGCCAGACACCAGACTGACTTCCTTTAACCAAACAGTTCATATTTCAGGCCACCTTCCCCTGTGTCAGATGGTGCATGATTTTCCATGATATTTCCCACAGGTTAATTCCTTCCTTGCTTCCCCCTTGGCTTCCAAGAAATTGCAGAAGTTGAGCATTAAACAGAGACTCTATATGTGATCACTCCCCTCATTTCCAACTTTGTTGAGTGCCCAGTTTTATCAAGAAAAATAAATCAGCCTTTAAAAATATGACTTTTAAATAATAGAAATAAATAAATTATAAAATCAAGTCCTTGATTAGTAAGTTTTTAAAGTTCTGGAAGTTATAAGTTTTAAAGAAACTACAAGATGTTATTTATCTTTCATTTTGTTTTTTACTTTGAGTTATATTTTTTAAAGTTTGACTTTTTTTTTTTTTTTTGAGTTGGAGTCTCACTCTGTCGCCCAGACTGGAGTGCAGTGGCTGCTATAAATGTCAAGTAGAAATAAACCCACAGTAAAAGTTCATTCATTTACATCATATCATATCTTTCTATTTTAGGGTTATCTTTACAGTTCAGCAGTACAACTCTGTGGAGTAGAACTGAATGGAGACTTTTGCCAGTTACAGGAAATGGTCATAAAAAAATATCAGTTCACTGACAGAATAAAGGTACCTTTTGAAATATATTTTGTGTTATTCATCATGTAACTCAGCCAAATCTCTTTTACACTGTTTTCAAATCTGTAATTGATTGCCATTGTGTAGAAATAGATTGAGTCACTTAATACTTCAAAACATGAATAAACATGAATTGTTTTAATTATGTCCCACTCACATATTTCTCTTCCTCCTTAATTTTATTAGAAAGTAAAATTTTTTTCTTAATTTTCTTCATATCAGCTATAGTTTTGGTAGTGGCATTTTATAATCTCTAGAGGTTGGCTAGAAATGTATTTAATTAAACTCTGAATGTTAAAAGTATGCAAAAGGATTGAGCAATACAGTTCTTTATCCTCTTTTCCTAAACTTTTGTGAGGTATTATGGATGCCTCAGAATAGCAGTTCATGGGGGAATGATATCTTAGTTAGGCTACAACAGGTTTTCTCTTTTCCTGTATTTAAGGAGAAAAATAACAAAAAAGGAGAAAGGAATTTTTTTTGGTTAATGCAGTAATATTTATCATTTCACTAATGATTCTACACATCTGATGGCAATGTAGAGAAATTTGAGTATCTCTGATGTTAAGTGTAATTTCATGTTGACAGACTGTCTCAGTAAGATTAAGGATCTAATCTGCCTGGGTGCAGTGGCTCACACCTATAATCTCAGCACTTTGGGAGGCACAGGCGAGAGGATTGCCTGACTCAGGGGTTCAAGACCAGCCTGAGCAACATAGCAAGCCTCGTCTCTACAATAAATAAAAAAGTAGCCTGGCATGGTAGCGCGCCTGTAGTTCTGGCTACTCAGAAGGCTGAGGTGGAAGGCTCGCCGGAGCCCAGCAGGTCAAGGCTGCAGTGGCCGGGAGCATGCCACTGCACTCCAGTCTGGGCAACAGAGTGAGACTCCAACTCAAAAAAAAAAAAAAAAGGACCGAATATTCCCCTTTTTTATAGAAGGAAATTATTTAATTCCCTCCTCCTGCTCCCTCACTTTCTCTTTTTCCCTTCACCCCCGTCCTTATATTAGAGATAGAGAGGCAAATGATCAGTGTAAATTCACTGTCCAATAATAAGTTAATAGGTTTATCTCACTATCCCATATGTAGTGAATAATTACACACTATTCTTACATAATAAGAATCACATAACTAGGGGTGAGGGGGAGGGAACACAACATCAGTAAAGGTACCTGATCTCAAACCAGGCAAAGTGAGAACCAAAGGGAGGCCCAAACTTCACCTGTACAATGACCACTTGTATACCTAATTCTGAATTTTATCCCACATCTTTAAAAGAAAAAAGAAAAATCCACATAACTAACAGATATCTATTTAATTGAAAATTGAGATTTAAAAATTATGAATTTTTAAGAATCATAGTTTATAATTGGATAAACAAGAAATTTTTTATTGTTTTTGTATTTAAGAAGATGATGATAAAGATATACAAAATACATCTTTTTAATGATTTTTACCCCTTTTCAAAGGAATATATGCAAATATACACCCACCCACACACTTTCCTAGTTTGTGGCTTCTGTGGCCATAGGCAGCTCTATAGTAAAAAACTTTGTAGCCGGGCTCGGTGGCTCAGCCTGTAATCCTGCGCCTTTGGGAGGCTGAGGTGAATGAATTGCCTGAGCCCGCGGGTTCGAGACCTGCCTGGGCAACTTGGCGAGACCTCATCTCTACAATAAAATTCAAAAATTAGCCGGGCGTGGTAGCGCGCTCCTGTAGTTCCAGCTACTTGGAAGGCTGAGGTGGAAGGATCGCCGGAGCTCAGCAGGTCGAGGCTGCAGTGGCCAAGAGCCACTGCACTTCAGTCTGGGTGACAGGGTGAGACTCCAACTCAAAAAAAAAACAACCCTTTCTGTATACCTTCTTAGGACTTTTGGAAACCTTAACAGTTTTCTTTCTTGAAGCTACAGATAAATGGATTTGAGGAAACTTAAAATCAATGGAAAGGGAATTCCAGGATTATTTTTGATAGTACCCGTTGAAATCCAACTAGGCTCCAAGACTCAATCTTTATTTTTATTTGTTTTTTTCTAACAGGGCTTTCCTCAGTTTTCTGCTCATATTTAATTGAGAAAAACAAAAAAGCTGATTGAAGTTATGAGCACCTGTGTGGGGATTATTGTGGGCTTCACAATTGAGTGATCTTATTGGGCAGCTTATTCGTTGGGAATATTTAGTGAAGTAGCCTGAGATCTTTCCACTTGGGCAGGTCTGATTGCCCACAGAAAACCTTTCTAATCTCTAAGCAACATCTGGGAACTGAGTGGTAGAGGAAAAGGGTTGGAGAGGTGGAATTTTCAGTGTTCTATGTGCATGTTTCCTTAATTTCCTTTGTTTTCAGTATATTACCCTTTCCTTCAAATAGGCCTGGTATCTGGTCCCATTCCAGAGACTACATCTCTATTCCTGTGCTGTGGTAGGAGAAAGCTATATAGGGATCAGGCTGCCTTTTTTTTTTTTTTTCCCTCATTTCAATAGCTTTAGTTACAAATACCTTTTCATTACATGGTTGCATTGTATAGTGGCAAAGAAGTCTGGGCTTTAAGTATACCCACCATTTCTACCTGTGCACTTTGTGCCTGATAGGTGATTTTTCATCCCTCCACCCCTTCCCTGGCTGCTTCTTTTTTTTCCCCCCCAGTGGCATCTCACTCTGTCCCCCAGGCTGGAGTGCAGTAGCATACTCATGACCACTTCAAGCTTGACCTACTGGACTCAGGCAATCCTTCTGCCTCAGTCTTCCAAGTAGCTGGAATTACAGGTGCATGCTACCACACCTGGCTAATTTTTTGATTAATTGTAGAGTCAAGGTCTCGCCAAGTTGCCCAGGCTGGTCTCAAACCCCTGGACTTAGGCAATCCTCTCACCTCTACCTCCCAAAGTGCTGGGATCCTGGCTGCTTCTTAAACTGGCTTTCAACTAGATTCTCTTATTTTTAGCATTTCTCCCAACTCCTCTACCTGATACCACCCAGAATGAACCTTTGGGAGATATTATAGTATAAATCAATTTTGAGTCTCAGCTTTCACTAATTCTAGCTTAGAAATCAATTTTATCAGGCTTCCTACGTTCCTTATTTCTTTCCCTTTTTTCCCTCACTTAACACATTTTTATATCTGTTGTTTTCTTTTCCACTCTCCCCCATCCTTGCAGGTTTAACACTATATTATAAAAACCTTGTACTGTCATCATCATGAGGTTTCAGTAATGTACAAAAGTACATGCATTTGTTTTTTATCTAGTATCTTTACATGCAAGGCTCATGGATTTAAATTCTTTTTTCTGCAGGCTAGAGGTAAACATTTCCTCATTCATATGCCTGGTCTGGGCTTATTCCTTTGATGGCACTTACATAAAGTTATTAACATAGCTTTTCTATCCCATAGCTATATTATAACACTTGAAAGCAAATATTGTGTATAACCTATAACCCAAGTATAACCTGCATGGTATCTAGCACATAGGAGGTACCTGTTAAATATTGGTTGAATTGCTTTTGGTTGCCTTGTGGTCCCTGCATCGTCAGCATTCCAGAGTTTGCCCAGAGCCACGGCTTGGGATTTTCCTGGGGTCTCCGGAGCGCCTCTCCTGACTGCCGTAATTTATCAATCCACTTGAATCTTTTTGTTTTACACTGTCCTGTGGTGGCTTGGGAGAACAGAGAGAACAGAGATGGGATTGCAAAAGGGAAACTGTGTTTGCGCTGTGATCTATCAGTAGGTTAATTTAAATATTGATTTTATGTCTCTGCTACATGTTTAGAAAGTTTGAAATGATTAACTGACTTTTTTGTGTTGAGAAATATGCCAAAGCTGTGTTTAGAGGCTCCAGGCCAATATAATTGAAATTATTTTAGTATTTTTATTATTTGAAAAAAAATTTTTTTAATCAGATCCACAACATTTTGAATATTGTATGTTTGTAAGACCAGCGTTTATTTGAAAAAAAAATGAAAATACAAAGCAAAATTTTTCTTTTCTTTCTAAAATGAAAGTTGTTTTGCTCTTAAGCAAATATATTTTTTTCTTCTTGTTGTCTTGCCTGTTGCCTGCAAGACTTATTGATTGTTGTCTAAGTTAAAATTTTTAGGTATATAGTTTTTTTGTTTGTTTGTTTGTTTGTTTTTTAAGTTGGAGTCTCACTCTGTCGCCCAGGCTGGAGTGCAGTGGCACATTCATGGCCACCCCAGCGTCGACCTACTGGGCTCTGATGATCCTTCTGCCTCAGCCTTCCAAGTAGCCAGAACTACAGGTGCGCGCTTCTATGTCCAGCTAATTTTTTTTAAAAAGCAGGATTTATTGAGACGAGAAAAGCTCCCACAGTGAGAGGGGACCCGAGGGGTTGCCCTAATATTTTTTAAAATTTATTGTAGAGACGAGGTCTCGTCAAGTGCCCAGGCTGGACTCAAACCCGCGGGCTCAGGCAGTCCACTCACCTCAGTCTCTCATAGTGCTGACATTACAGTCTGAGCCACCGAGCCTGGCCAGGTATATAGCTTTTAAATAAATTGTTTTGTTTACTTTTTTGGATAGGTAACGCATTCAAGTGAATTTTAGATGAAGAGCCAGACAAGGCCAGTTAACATATTATATTAACATTGTATCATTTGAAACCTACTTTAACAATTTTTATATGGTCTCGTTAGATTCTGTGAATCAGGATAAATATTATTTAAGTTTATTTATGAAGAAACTGACTACCTAAGAGTACAAACCTAGTTGGTGATAAAGCTAGAAGTTAAACCTAGGTCCTTTGACTCTAACAACTAGTGCTACAGTAGAAAAAATTCTGAACTGAAAGTCAAAAGAGCATAATTACAACTGAATAAATAATTCCATCTAAGCCAAACTCGGTGGCTCAGCCTGTAATCCCGTGCCTTGGGAGGCTGAGGTGAGTGAATTGCCTGAGCCCACGAGTTCGAGACCCGCC